AATAATCATTATTATTCTTACTATTGTTCTTATTATTATTATTATTATTATTATTACTATTATTATTGCTAATATTTTTTTTAACAATAGATTCCCTTGGTAGAGGTAGATTAATTTAATAATTAATATAATTAATTACTAAGATTTTGCATTTTTTTTTATTTTTTATTTTTTATGAAAAAAGACAACATGTAGATCTCAAGATAATACGTTAGAAAACACGATATATCATACGAGAGTGCCAAACGGCCTTTTTTTCGAATGTACGAAAGCTCCTCTCCCCCCATAATTTCCCCTTGCATTGAATTGACGATCCCTTGAAACTGCGGTATAGTGTTTTCAAACGGTTTCAATCGAGAGGAAACGAGCGGCTTTCGGTTGTTTTTCTAGACCAGAGAATAGAAACTGAAAGGAAAATGGCGGATCTGCGTTTTTGTTTTTAAATCTCGCGCCAATTTCGATTTCGTACGGTTTTTATCGACTTCCGCTTTTTCTTTGAGTTCGCCGATCTACTGCACGTAGTGAAATTCTTTAGTGCCAAAAGAAACGAAATAAACTGCAAAAAAATCGATAGGAAGTAAAAAATGCAAACGGTAGACTGTTTTCGTTGGTTTTCAGGAGTATAATTTAGAGGAAAAGAGGGTGAGAGAGACAAGCGGTTCGATCGCGATCCCTTTTTTGCATTTTTATCCCTCACTGATTATTTATTTAAGGATAAACGATTGTTCGTTTCGTTGAGTTCTTTTTAAATGAAAACATTTATAAGAAAACAGAACGAATAACAAAAATATGGGGTATCAGTGGTTATAGGGTTAAGGAAAACGAAGAGTGGAGCAAAGAAAGAAACAAGATGAAAGAGAGGGAAAAAAGAAATTTCACACACACACACACACACACACACACACAATAAAAAGTGAAAAAAATGAGAAAAGAAAGAATATTAAACGATTATAAAAAATACTTGCTTAGTCAGTTAAAGTACAAATGTTTAAATGTATTCTATGATTAGGTGATAAGTGAAATGAAAAGAAGAAAGTGTGCGCGCGCGTGAGAGGGGGAGAGAGAGAGAGAGAGAGAGAGAGAGAGAGAGAGTGAGTGAAAGACGCATAGCTGCGTATAAACTTGGTTTCATTCCTTAATAAGCCTCTGATAGCTTTATTTATATTCGCATTAGTTACTTGATGTTTAATAATACTTAAAAGAAGAAACGGGCTGAGAGAGGGCAAAGTAAAAGGAAATACTACTTCTCTTTTTTTTGTTTTTTTCTCATGATATATGATATATAATATATATATACACACACACACACACATATATATATATACAAAGCCGCGTTTACTTTGATATTATAATGTGAGACACGTTCCTTTTTTTCGGAGATATTTTCTTTGACATATCAAATTGACCACAAATGGACACACTAAGAAACCGTTGCATTCCATCGGCGTCTGAGCACGCTCATCAATGTTTCCCGTGATCTCTATATGTGTTTTTCACTTTTCCAACAATACACTTGTCAAAAGCCTCGTTCCTACGAGGAGGTCCTTTTTGTCTGAGGCGACACTCACAGTTAAGACTAGAAGACAATTTGAACGTCCTCGATTACAGAATAAAAGCAGTGTTCTTCTGTGGTGCTGCAATCCTGTACATCTGTTACTAGAGAAAGTTCTACCTGGATAGAATGACTCTTGGACTTAGTATCTGGCTCGGCGTTTCTCTTGAGAACTGGATTTCTTTAGTTTATTGTTTTTGAAGCCTCTTTGAGCCACCAGATATGCAGATTTTTTAAGAGGAAGCGAAAAATTAAGTAATATTTGGAAAAATCTAGCTCGTGCAACGTGCAATGTTGCAATAAAGTATTTCTAGCACAAAACTTACTACCTATAAGCTGTACTATTAAAGAAAGTTACAAATATATTTCATTACAATCAAAGGCACTGAATTTTATTATAATTGTTGCCTATTGGTTAAGGTTTGGGTGGAAAAGTGTTGTTTGATAAACTAACTTTGCTACATTTCATATTCTTTCTTTAGGTTTCACCTTGGTATCTCTTGTAATGTGTGTTTCTTCAGTATTTTTCAATGATCGCCAAGTTTTGTACCTGGAAATGGCATCTCCAGAAACATTCTAGTCATAAGGGGTATTCAAAAAAAGTTCAGCTTTAGGCTTTTTGTTGAGAACATAATGCATTGTCAAGATAATGCAGTTTTCCTTACTGTTATGGAGGACAAAAATTTTTGACAAAAGTCCGCTTGTTCGAATAAAAAATTAACAAATTCTTGGATTCAGATCAGTTTGGAGATCTAAATTATTTCATGAGCTTCTACAAACAATGTCACAATAAAAAAGTCTTATCTTCAGGAATTTAAAAAAAAAAGAAAAAAAATCAAAATTTAACCTAAAAATAGGGAGAGTCACAGGGTGTTATAGACAGAGTGATAAATGTTGTTGACTATATACACGTGTAAAGAGAGGAATTAAAAAAGTGAAAAGAACGCCGAGCCATATGTTAAGTGGAACCTCCTGTATACTGGAATTTAAATAAGGAAACAAATATCTTTGACGATAGGATTTAAAGAGTATCGACACAATATCCATTATAAATACTGCGCATACGTTTTAAAAACAGGAACGATAACAAACAAAGAAACGAAGAATGTGACAAGCAGAGAATTAAAAAAAAATTCACGGTTCGCTGTGCATTAACCATGTTTTCCTGAAACCTCCATTGGTATTTTTTATTAGATGGGACTATTTGTGAAATGGAAATGGGTTTAAAGAAAAAAAAAGAGAAAGATGTTCCGACAAGTTGCTTAAATACTTCAAAACTGTAAACTGTATAAAGAATAGTACAAGACAAGAGAAATGGTAAATCGTAAAAATGCAATATGGAGAAAGCGTGTATCCAAATATATTTTTTATATATGCTAATGGGATGCTAAGGAGCATGGTCGCGTTGTAAACGTATATATTGTATTATTTAGCATTACATGTACGGTTATATACAAGGCTGGACCACGTAACGTGACCACCTCAATTATTGTCATTATTAGTGGACCGATCAAAATTTTTTTTTGTCACCGATACGATTACAGAGGATCTTCAAGGTGATGACATTAGATTTTTTCTGTTTCTTGTTAAAATAAGTTTTCAAGGTTATCTTCAATTTTTTTATGTATAACCTATAGTTTTTTTTTGCCTATTAACTAGTAGGCATTGAGATGAATTAACGACCATAATATAATACCTTTTTTTGTATATATAAAAACATTAAAAGTGACCTTGAAAATTTATTTAAAAAAGGGTATAGGAAAAATCTGAGATCACCATCTTGGATATCCTTTGAAACCATATCCTTTATGACCAAAATAATTTAGAGCGGCCTATTAATAATGAAAATAATTGAGGTGGTCACGTTAGGTGGACCACCCTATATATTGCACACACATATATCGACTGTGTAATCGATTGTCAGTTCCCCCCGAGGCTACTCAGCCTTTACACACACACACACACACACACACACACACACACACACACACACACACACACACACACACACACACACACACACACACACACACACACACACACACACACACACACACACACACACACACACACACACACACACACACACACACACACAACACACAGTACGCAACGATACAATTTCCAACCCGTGATTGTACGTACAGTGACGAATTCAGGTTGGATTTCGACGTTATCGTAACCGGAAGTAACGAGCCTCGAGGATGGGAACGCGAAGACTACGTTCATTATCCATGAAATGTATTACGTCGACGCGGTGGAAATTCGTGGCAAAAAAAAAAAAAAGAAAAATTGTCAGAAGCGTTTCGTTGCCGGTAGCAGCTGACGAGTCGCGCGGACCAAACACACGATCCTATACATTTTTAACGTTCCATGAATTACATACTACTACTACTACTACTACTACTACTACTACTACTACTACTACTACTATTACTACTACTACTACTACTATTAATATTATCATATTATTGTTTTACTTTTTTTCTTCTATTCCTTTTTTCCTCTTTTCTTCTACGTCGGTACCTACCTTAAACAAATTTTCCGTTTCATTTTTATATGGAATATTCAAATTTATGGTATTATACGTATACACATCTATATACACTTTTACAAACAACAATAAAAAGAAAAAAATATAAAAGTGAATAAATATTTTAATCTACATACTATATAATTACGTATTTAAAGATATATGGAGAACATTTGCTACTTATATATTTGTCAAATGTATCGCGCGCGCGCCAATGTTTGGAAAGGTATTCTCGCGGGACGGACAGAAATGGTGGAGAGGGGGGTTGGTGATTGTTGCTGCTGTTGCTGTGGTGGACATGTTGTATATAGTTGTCACGCTCTAAGATATTTTTTCCGTTCCGAAATCGCATGTGTGACGTTGTTTTTAAGAAAAAAAAAAGATTCTCGATTCTCTATCGCCATTGTGAACCTTGTCAATACGCCCGCGTGGAACACATTTCCAAGCAAGAATAAATAAAAAAAAAGTTACTCAAACTATGCAGTTCTTTGAAATATGTAGGAGAAACATACGTTCTTGCCTGCGTATAGGCTGCAAAATGCAATAATAAATATATTGTGATGCTCACGAAAGCACATAACATAATTTACCAAAATTGTAATGTTTAAAATATTTCATGTGATTTTGGAAACTGTTATATTTTTTATTTCCTGCCAATTGTTTAATTTGTAATGTTGTTCTTTGTTCTTTTTCAATAAAGAGTAAGCAAACCAACAATCGCCGTTCTCTTCATTTGTATAACAATATATAATCTTTGCATTGATTGAAACCTACAACATTTCAGTTAGATTGTTTGATCTTCTTGGACCATTGGAATATAAGAGATATAAAAGTGAGTACATACTTCACGTATAAATACATGCTTTTATTTCATTTTATCCTTTCATACAGTTTTATATACAAGTATTTCAGCATTTAATCAGAATCAGAGTCTCGATGACCATACTGTTGCTTTGGCAGTTCTTCTTGCAGTTCTAGCACATGTTCTATTGGCTTTGGCTTTCCATCCTCTCCAATCCTACAAGGCTGCACCAGTCCCTCCCTAAAGCAGTACAATACACATTAAAAGTAACATAAAATATAAATTGATTATTATACTCATAAATAGATAAGATTAGTGACCGTGTCAGCTTATCGACCAGACCAACCAGTTGTAAGGCTTCATACTCTTTCTGTTCCTCTGTCATTCCTTCTAAAGGATTTGGTTTTGGGTGCTCGAAACATCCAGTTACTGGATTGATCCTTTAATGCAATAACATCTTACAAATATTATGTACATATAAGATTATTACAATTCGGTAAAAATGCTCACTGTTCTTTATACTTCAAGTACTCTTCAGTTTCACTGTCCTCTGATTCAGAAGAGTAAGCTGACTTTCTTTTGTTTGTACCCAGTAATCCTTTGTTTGCAAACATACCAGCTGCATTTCCATAACCTGTGTACTTCACCATACGAGTGACTAAAAATAACATCAATATTATTGCCTCAATATTGAAATATAGATTGTACTTTATTCAATGTGTAGCCCCACCATTCTCTTTACAGAGTATAAACAGGAACTCTGCAACGAGATCTCGCAGCTCTGTTAAAGGTGAAGTCAATAATTTACACAATTTCGCTCTCAAAGTCGTCCCTTCTTCTGGACGATGCATCACGTCCATCAAGGGAGGTAAAATCTGAGATAAAAATGGACAAATTATGTTATGTACTGGAATATAAAATATTTGAGCAAAAATTTCCTGTTTCTTTTACCTGTAACCTGGTATATTTGCGTATTAATCTCTCAGCTTTGACCATTCTGATGAAGGCAGTGACAATTGGACTAAGATTCCCTATCAAATCGTCTTTATAATTCAGCCTTTTATCTAAGAATTTTAGCAAGACATACACTGCACTCATGTCCATACCTTGGTACACATATCTATGGTTTTCTTTAGTAGGTGGAATGATTGTTGAATAATAACCATGTGGTATCACTGTTAGTAAATTTGCAATATTACTGGAATAAAGGTTTATGTAATATAATATTTAAATAATACAAATGTTTAATAAGGATAACATACCTGTGAAGATCATCCTTCTTTTCACATTTAGATAATAGTAACTTGTACAATATTAAAACTAGACTTTTAGTCTTTTCTTCTTCCTCTACTGAATCACTGGAATTTATGTATAAATTAAATAATGCTTTTAAAACTTCACATGATAATGTTGCAGTGTCTTCCTGAAAGGAAAATCTATATAATACATATTTTTTTATAAGTAATTAAATTTTATTATTATCTATATACTTTTAGAGTGTATAATTTTTCATCTTCACACTGAACACTGCTCTCCAACATTTTTATATATAATACTTATTCTTTTATAAGTAATTAAATTTTATTATTATCTATATACTTTTAGAGTGTATAATTTTTCATCTTCACACTGAACACTGCTCTCCAACATTTTTATGAGACACTCATCTCCATTCAGTTCTGTTTTAACAATTTGTCTCATGGAAATGTTTAGGGCAGTAATTAGAAATATAATTCTTGTATTAAATAACATTACTTCTTGTGGAATGACATTACTGTATTTTTTCATATGTTTAATAACACATGATAAACAAGATGTTGTTGGTATAACTTGTTGTACTCTTGTACTATTGAATATCAAATTACAAAGCAATTTGAGAGCTTCAATAGTAACTGCAAAGTAAATCAGATGAGAAATAAAAATTTATTGTAATATTTCATTTACAAATATAATTCTTACCATTTGTATAAGTATTTTGATTGATATTTGCATCCTTTAAAGCTGCATTATCTAATATAACATTTATTCTTTCGTCTGTGACTAAATCATTTATGTTTGTTTTATCTCGGCTATGTTAATAGAGAAAAACAACAAAATTACTTAACAATAATTGCAAAAGCTAATGATACATTTAAAGCAATACTACAAATGTGATGTCAGAAAAGTTCTAATGCTTGGCTAGAAATAAAAATGTGTTTAATCAATAACAGATTTTTTGATATGAACTTAGTAAGTGCAAATAAAAAAATTAAACCTAAAAGAAATACAATACTCTGCAATATTACCTAAGTATTCGTAAAGTGGACAAGCAGTTATAACGAATGAACGATTGTGTATTATCTGATAAATAATGAAACAGTATTTTCCATAGCTTTTCACGCAATTGTTCTTTATTCAATTCTTCAAATGTAGTCCTACTTTCATACTGAAACAATAAACAAGTAATTTATAGTACTGTGAAATGATAGTAACAATTAATTAATTCTTCATAAAAATGATTTATCAATGGCATAAATTTACATTTTCTTGGAAAGATATGATACCCTTTAAAAATTGATTGTTCGTATCTGAGACTATTTTTTCTACTAATACGTCCATGATGGCATCAACATGCTACACTTTTGAAAATTCAAAAAGACTTAATTCAAAACAATTGACAGCTTCTAAATGTCTACACAACGTTTTAACACGCGAATCCAGGTCACTGCAATAGAAGGTGCGTTTTAACGCCATCTGGCGGATACCGGGTGACCAAAAAAAAATTTTGAAATATCCCAGAATTCAATGTTCATTTAAATTTCACAAAAACTATGCTCCTCTTGCTTTTGAAAATTCAAACTGAGAAAAAAGAATTTAAAGTAATTTTTTATGAAGTTGTTTTAAAATAGTATTCTATAAAATATTCTAGTATCATAAAATAATTAATGTATTTATATTTTGGGTATATAGAACAGTATTTCTATTTATTGGTGTATTTATAGTGGTAATAATGGCATTTATTAGGTATTATACTAGTCATTACAATTCTTAACATTAACACTATCGTTAATGACTAGTGCGATACCTGATAAGTATCATTATTACAGTTATAAATACACCAATAAATAGAAATACTGTTTTATTTACCGAAAATATAAATATATTAATCGTTTCGTGATAGTAAAATATTTTATAAAATATTATTTTAAAACAAGTTCATTATTAACTTCTGGAAACAATTATTCCGTTTGATTTATAATTTTACTTAGTATTATATCAATTGATATATTTATAACGCATTTCCAATGAGAGATTATATGGTCCTACGCCAATGCACGATTTCCCTTTCCCTGCTTCGTGTGCATCGTGGCGTCTACTCCGGCGAAAAAACCCAACGACCGAGCGATTACAGAAACGTGATGTAATCCGCTCACTGGAAGGTCAAAGAAATGCCCATCGCCTGTTTTCTACGCGGCTAGAAGTCGTTGAACCAGATCGTTGGAGCATCGACCATGGAGTCGACGGCCTCCGCGAATAGAAACCTGTTTCCCCTTGATGGCAACAGTCCCTTTAGGAACGGCCCTTATGTATGTTATAGGGTCAAATCTCAATGAAATGTTGCGTCTGCCACCTGAAGGGCGGTACGGGCGAATCACGTGAGAAAGATTGGGCCATTTCTCTTCCTGGATCGGGCGTTGTAAATTGGAAGAACCTGCTTCTAAATACAACAACGTTAATGATGCTATTGTAATTGTAACGACGGACAATTTTTAGGTTATGCAATTTGGAAACGGTAGAGAATGATTTCAAAATTATCAGAACTAAAGGGAGGCGGTATCATTGCGTCTTCACCGCGGTGCTATTCTTATCATTCCAGCCTCCACAGTTTCTGCACAATTCCCCCTATGTCACAAAGGACTCTTCGCCACTTAGTTCGTGGCTATTTTTGGCCGTTACTCGCAGTAGAGGTAAACTGCTACTGGAAAAACGGAAAAATAACGCTCAGATCACATGGGATGTGCACATTAAGCGTGGCAAAGAAAAGAACAGTGGTACAACAGGTGCCTCACATAGGAAACACGCTGGCATTGTCGGTCTCCAAGGACACGCTGCTATAAAAACTCTTCCATCCCATTCCTGGAGGGCATAAAAAGGACTGGAAAGAGGAAGGGGAAAGGAAACAGGGGAAGGATGACCTTGGAGCGTAGGGTTGTCCAACCGGGCGGGAATAACGCACGGATAGATGCGTAAATTATGCGCTACTTTCTAAACGAGCCAAGGAACTTGGTCTTCCTGTCTTTCTCCTTACAGAAAAGTACTTGAGAAGCTGGTTTATTGTTAATAAATTCACTCGAAAGAACTGTCATATTTCTGGAAACAATGGGATCTTGTTTGCTGTTGTGTCTCATTCGAAACAGGAATTAAATTGGAGCGCTTCTCAATAATCGTCAGAAAATGAATTTATATTTATTGTCAATTATAATTTTCAAACAATTCCAAATGATATTTTTATAGTTAACTTTTAGACTTTACATATTAACCAGTTAACCAATATTTGCAGCACGATTAATTACTTGTTCACAGATTCCCAGTTTTTAATTAAAATTCTTTAAAAATTATCGTTCAAAATTGTTGCAAAATATTAAGTGTACATGCACGAATGAATGTCTATTGCTAGAAATTGACTTCTAAATATTATTTCAGCGGCTGGTTGATGAAACCATGCCCCGGAGTCAGTTTTCCCGAAATCGTACGAAAGCCAGGGACGAACAGTGGTGCGGAGGGGGATAAGGGAGTAAGAGGGGAGTGCGTGGTGCGTGAACGCGTGATGTGTGCAGGCCTGCGGTGGATGCACTTTTAGGAAATCATGCATACACGTGGCAACATCGCACTGCGGGCTCACATTCCACGTGATCAGGACCGGTTTGCGGGTGTCGACCCACTGACACTCGTCCACGACGCAGATAAACCTTAGCCCTGCATGTAACCATTCACCTTACTTTTTCCTTTTTTATTGCAACATCCGAAACATTATTGCTAACGATTCATAATCTAAAATGGCTTGCTTTGATAGTAAAAAAGGTACCTACTTCCAATCACATGTGTATACAAGCCTTACAGATGTATGAATTTGCAATTAATAAATTATCCCGATTGTGGATGTAGGTTAGGTCAGGAATAACCTCCCTAAACGAATTGTAACACGTTCGAAGAAGTCAGTGTGCTGTTAGAATAATGTAAATAGACAACAAATACAAAACTGAGCGGTTTCATGAGCACATTGGATAAGAGGGGACTAATTTTTACATTAACACCTTGTATGGATGCACGTGAAAAAACCTAGGCGTACATTGCAAGGCTATTGACCGGAGGGGTCCCCGATCGATGATCGGTTACCTGCTGATACATTGTTGCCTATACAATAGCGAGAGTATTCTCGATCCAGTGGGAACCCTTGGGCGTCAAGTGCAATTATTCTGTGTAACCGAGTGCACTTTGTTCCTGCTGTTCGAGATTTCCTTTGTCCATAGCGCGACCATTCATTGCAGCTACCGGGTGCAACGCCCCATTCACCTGTGCCACCAGCCATACGGTAATTCTTTGTGCATCCTTTTAAAGGATTATTGCGTCAGCAAAAAAAAGATGGAAAAGAAAAGAAAAGAAAACTTATTGCTTTATTGCCTTTTTTTGTGAGTACTTGCAGAGGATTAAAAGAATATTTTTTAAATATATATACGTTTTTCATTATTTAAAGGGAATGGAATAAGATTAGTGAAAATATGTTTCTTAGGCTTGACATTTTTTTTCTTTTCACACGGAAGACAGAGGCAAAATTTTGGGACCGATTTTCCAGGGAA